CTGTTTGGCACATGCCAAGCAACTGTCAGCAAAAGCAGATTCACACTGCAGAGAGACTCCCAGTGGAGCAGCTCTTGTACAAATGCATCCACATGGGCACTCACCTTTTTCCCTACTCATCCAAAGATGGGAAAGGGAAGAGGAGAGCTTCCCTGCAGTGCACTCTCGGTGTTGCAGTTGTGGCCCTACAGCAAGTGATGCCTTTGTATGGCTGCTCCACCCCAGTATGGTGGGCTTGGTCTCCTGGTAGGTGGGGAGAGCCATACCGAAAGCTTCTGCAATCTGCATCCAAGGACGATCCTCTGAAAACCCCGAGATTCCTGTTTGGGGTATTGTTTCCAAACATTTATGAGGTCATTATAGCCTAAACATGAATTTCTGTCACAGTGCTGGGTGCCTCCCTGCCCAGAGCTTGTCCAAGAAGTGCAGAGGGACATGACCTTACAATAATTTGTTTATCGACTGCCATCTGAAACTCACAGTCTCTGGGTGTTCCTGGGCAGATGCCACGAGGTCAGCAAGGACAGGTGAAAGCTGGAGCAACAGAGGCCTAACCTATGTTTAGTAGGTTGTTCCCACAGGTTGTTAAGGCCTGGCAAGCCACAGGAGGTTTCTGACAGCACAAGGTCCTGTTAGCAGTGTTAACAGCTTCTAAAATTAGCAGAACCTGTATTTCCAATATGTGGCCCCAGCAGCAAATTTGGGGAATTCTTCGGTAGGAAGAGGCATTTTCTGTGTTCTGCAAGGTCTTCTCACCACGTCAGCAGCACTGCCTCATGTTGGCCTGGGAAGGGTCAATTTCTCTAACGCGAAATGTGATTTTACAGTGCAACAAGCTGTGGAGCCATGGCTGCTGGGGAGGGCCCACATCTCTCCACAGAAATGTTGGTTACATTTTACTAATGTGGGTAGACAAGCCTTTCACTGGACATGTACTTAAACACAGGACTGTTTCACTAGCACCCAAGCAGACACAGGTCTTGAGGACAAGGCACGGAAAGCTTGATGCTGGTAACGTTTATCCACCACCTCCCACATGTTTGGGGTGTGCTGCTCCACAGCTGCAAAAGCAAGGGAAAGCATCCTACTTAGGGGCAAAAACACTCACAGGACTGGTCAGAAGATGTTTACCTCCATCAGTGACAAACTGGCACACGGGCTAGGATGTCTGGTTTGCTTAACCGGGGTGAAGAGTTGGGAAGAGTGATGATGGCAATGGGCTATTGCTTTTCTGCCTGTGCATATCACAGCAGAATTGTGCATGTCAATCGTCTGCTTCGAGATTTCTTGGGTGGATCGACGTGGGGTTTCTCTCCATGTTTTCAGTGTCTACAGATTATTCATTGCTGTACTCCTTTGGATCGTTAACAGATGCACTAAATGAATGCCTGGACCTGAGGAAGTCCATATATGCATGATCAGTTATGCAGCTTTATGCCCTTTTCACAAATTTCAGACATATCTCTACTGATGAGCATGTGACCTTTGGGAATTCTGGGCCTTTGGACAATTTACTGTGGATCTGCAGTACGCTTTCCAAAACAACAGTAGCTTAGACTTTGGGAGCAAATAAACTTTTGTTTAAGACTTTGCTATCTTTAAAAAGTGATCAGCACATGGATAGTGAATAAAGTGCAATTAAAAACACTTTAAAAATTGTTATTTTACTTAATGAGAACTTAAAGCTATGCATTACTTACTGAGCAGGAAAGAAACAATCAATAGAATGACAATGATTGTCCCAATGATAGACCAGAACTGCCACTGAGCACTGATCTATGTAAAAAATAGGGAAAAAAAAGAGAACATTGTCTAATAATTGATAAAAATAATACCAAATGAACAAATAATTGGTCCTAATTCAGATTTAAATTCACCTGCACTAAATTATATAAATGCAGTCAGCAAACATCACCTTGCCAATACACAGAGCTCACCTCTTTACTGGCTCGTTTAATGAACAGCTACTTACAACTGTGGATAAATTTTAACTCTGACTTTGCAGCTGCAGGCAATAAGGCTCATGCATTCAGGGATCCTACTCTGCCTGCTAGCCTTGTCTGCTTGGCTGAAAAGTACTTGACTTAAAGAGACTGAGCAGCTTGGAGGAAGAGCCTCCCAAATTCTTGAAGAGTCCATTTTCCAGATGGCTGAGGAGGCTACCAGAAGCAGCAGAAGACAGGGAGCCTAGAAAGCCACAGTAATGACCTAGCACATGGGTTTGAGAGATCGAAGGCACCAGGATGCCGGATGGACCTGTTTGCTTCACCAAGCCGGAAGCAGCTGTAGCTGTTGCTCTGGTGGGTTTTGCAGTGATCTGCCAGAGCTAAGATCCCATTTTTTAAGCAGGGCCCAGACCTGAGATACTACTCAGCTAGGCAGCATTAGAAACCAGGACCTGAACCTTTGATCTGGCTCACAGCAGAAATAAGCTGCAGCTGGGAGGAGGAGTGATATAGGGCTGGGGCTCTCATTCAACTCCATCTCTAGAGGAAGTCATAACACGGCTGTATCTGCACCACAGCACAGCAGTCAGCTGTACCATTTGCTGTCCTTTCTCTAAAAGTAGCCAGGATAGATGATTTACAGCAAGGTGTAAAATCCTCATCATGCACCTAATTATACTTTACTACACCATGGGGGATACTTCCTTCTGACTCCATCTGGCAATCAGATTGTAACCTGAAGCATGTGGATTGATTGCCCTCGTGGCTTTTCTCCTAGCTAGTCTAACCAATGATGCTTTATTCTTGCTCGTACAAATATCTAAGCCTTTTTGAAGCTTTGAAAATTATGAGTAATTGTGCAATGAAAATCAGTAATGAAAGTGTTTACAAAGCTGGTGTGTTTTGGGAGTGATCCAAAAGACAGCTGCCCCCTCTAAGGGTGATGGAAAAAGTTGGAGAAAAGTGACAACAAAAAGTTCCAGATCCCTGTTTTTTGTGATCAATTTGCCATGCATCCTGCAGCAGCCTCTAGGATCTTTATTATACACCACTCTTACCAGTCCATGAAAGCATAACCTCAAGCCCATAGAAAAAATGTCTATATTCCTCTACCAGAATGCAGCTATTCCTACATCTTCAGGTCCACGACAGCTTACTATTTCAGAGGAGAGACAGAGGTGAAGATCTGGTAAAATGTTTACTATATTATCCCTGCCAACAAAGTTTATTCCCTTTCGCATACTGACAGGTGCTAGCATTTTGCTCAGGGTTAAATATCCCATTTTTTCACTGTTTCCCAGAGGAAAGCGTTTTCAGAGCTGTGAGGCTATGTTCACCCATGCCAGCCTCTAAAACTCAAGATAGACTCACTGCCATCTTGTGGTTAGCTCTCCCTGTTGCATTGGTGCTAGGGTTGGTGAGAGGATAGTCACAGCTGGTACAGATCTTCAGGCTGGCATTCAGGGATAGTGCCCCAGAACACAGCCTAGGGACACAGCAGAAGCAACCAGGGGGGCTGTGTGGCAGGGTGCCTGGCTCCAGGGCTGTAATAGTGAGGAGGAGGAGAAAGCAGTCCCTTCCACAAAACACATTTTGAATACATCATATACCCCCTCTCCAAAGCCAGATTTTGCTTTTCAGGACCCCTAAAGTCCTACATCTTGCCTACGTGAAATGCATGGTGTGTGAAAGCCTGCTTTCCCAACGTCCTCTAAAATCCCCCCTGCAAAACGCAATAGGGAGAGAAGAGTTGCTAAAGGCCTGTGAATGGAAAATGCTGTGCCTGAAGCCACCGCTTCCCTCTGGGGATAGCAAGCACCAATATTCAGTTGGGATCAAGGGAACCCCCTCCCCCCTTGTACTGATACCATCTCCTGTTTGTTGCCTACTTCATCCCTCACGTCTACTCAAGAGGTCTCGATCAAGGTCTTCTCCCTGTGACGGGGTACCTGGAAAAGGGCTATCTTCCGGCAGAACTTTTCACATACATCTCTGCCTAAACATAGTGCTTTTCCAAGAGGGTGTGCAAATCTCTAACTACTGGATTTCACTGGAAGAGAGCGAGTCTTACAAGTGATTTTCAGTGGAGTCCAATGAACAGCCAAGACTAAGATGATTACTTCACCAGTACTCACAAGCACACATCAAAGTGAAAAGAGCAGGAAAGAATAGCCAGATCCAATCCCACTGCTGATTACTTTGCCCACTTTGGATCCATATTATCTGTTCAGCCTACAATGTCCCCTTGCTGTGTGCAAACATGCACACACACACACACACACACACACACACACACACAAAATACATGGGCAATTCCAAGGGAGATGCTGAGGTCACAGCTTTTGCCTGCAGATTCCTGTTTACCACCAGTGGGACTCCCAAGTCAGACAACATAAGGAAACATGTATACCTCATTTTCAGTGCCAGCCTTTTTGTATGGCAATAGAGGGTCCTACACGCAGAAAGAGGAGGAACAGCGTAGGGGCTAGCCCTCTGATATTTTCCCCTTAATGAGTAAAAGATTGGAGTTATGTCTGCTTCTTGTAACACCCTTTACAAACGTTCTCCTCCTCTGCCAGCTATGGAAGTATTGTGACCACATGGGGTGGATCTTAGGTCCCTATTCCTTTCCCAGTTTGTATTAAATATATAGGTCCATAAGAGAAACAGTGTAGCCTGCTCTGATCAGGAATAGGATCTGACCATTATTACAGAAACCTGGTGGCACATTTTCATTACACAGTACATAAAGAGGAAAAGTTTGCAGGTAGAGGAGCAGCAGAAGAGGATGATGGGTAATGTGCCAGATGAGGAAAATGGTACCGGGTCAGCCCAGGCTGGTGACCTGTCTTCGGCAGCGACTCAGAGTGGCACGTACAGAAAAGACCTCAGAAATATTCTTCCCACTTCCTGTAGTCTATGGTTTCAGTAACAACACGTAAGACAGGTCCTCAGCAAGCCCAGTGTGTTTGTTCTGAAATCCATCCCTGTCGCAGCTATACGATACGTACCTTCCCCATTAGAATGTCCATTTCTGAAAGCAAAGTCTGCACGTTTGGCTTCATAGAACATTTTATTTGGATAAGCTTTTCACATCATTGGACATTGGTTCTTCATTAAGGCAATTCCGAAGGGGCTGGAGGGGAGGGAGGGAGCAGGGACATGGACACAGTGGCAACGGGATTGCATTAAGGCAAAATGTCCTCCTTCTGCACTTCACCACAGCAGATTCCACATAAACAGTAAATGACTCATGCCAAAGAAAGAGATTCAGTGCAAATATGTCCCACTGACTATCCACAAATGGGGCTAGATTCCCCACTGAGGTAAACTGACAGAGCCTTATTACTTGTAAAGCTATGTTGGTTCATCTCAATTCAGCATCCCAGCCCAAGTTCAGTGAAACATTCAAGTATGTGTCTCATTACGCGAAGCACATGTTTAAATGCTTTGCTGAATCACGGCCATGGCCCTTTGAATGCAAGTCTGCAAAGTTAAGAGTTCAATTTTTATTCAGCACGTAAGTATGTAACTTTGTGTCCCTTTGGTTCACTTCTTACCTCTGTTTTATTATTGCTGCTGAGCATATCCCCTTAGTTTCTTTAACACGGTTTTCACTTCAAACGTGCTTTGCAGTCTGCATAAGTGTATCATAACATAAAAATGCATTATCCTTTGGAGACAACTTCTTACAAAGGTTCTAGAGTTAGGGTGTTCTTTGGAGGACCAGGTTACAATATGTTTTTTCAGTGAGCAGTACTGTACTCTGTGAGTAATGCCAGTGACAGCAGAGGCACAACTTGCAGGGAAAGGTACTGCCCAGGTCACATATCAGCAACGCAAAGCAGGCCCCAAACACTTTTCTATTTCCACAAGAGTTTCCTAAGAGGATTCTACCATTCCAAAAATATAGTCACTAATACTTGCATTGGCATGGGGAAACCCCTTTTGTAATCCCAGGTGCAAACTGAAGGAAAGTACGGCAGAAATACTACCAGAAGCATGAACACACTTTCAGGCAGAAGCAGTATATAACATTTCATAATCCTAAAAGCTGCCTGTACCTTCCAAGATGAAGATCTCCAGGTAACCTTTGACAGATAACCTTGGTGTCCATTAATAACAGGATATGTATAGGTCTCGTTGAAAACTTATTCAGGTATACGAAATGGTTAGCAAAGGGGAAAATATGGCAAAGAAATCAAGCATATATTACTGTTCAAAACAAAACATTTCCTGGACACACATGTCAACTTTTGTATGGCCTAGAACCTTGTATAACATGCTAAAAAGCATGAGTAACCTGCATATTTCCTTGATACAGAGAAGAGCATCCAGTTTGAGGGAATCAGAAGGGTGAATTCCAGCCGCTGGTACAAGTCTTTTGTGCTTTAGACTTTCTTCATGCCTTTTCCCATAAGGCAAGCAAACACAGTCATGACCATTTTGGGTTTTACTTCAACCAGGTCTTCTGGAAGGGCATAGACTCTTGCTCCAATTTTTCTCGCCATAGAGATGGCATATCTGCATTGCAGGGTAGGGGAAACAAAGAAATAAATTAGTGGAATAGCACTCTGTTAAGTAGTTTTCACCTCTGTAAAGAAGTTGTCATGATCACTATGAGATCAGGTTGAGAACTCTTCTACCAATTCATCAGAATTAAGCTTGTCTATGGGAATATATGAACCCGGCTCATCAAGAGCTACGCTTCTAGTAAACGATACAGCATGTTGCCTGATGGTTACAGCACTGATTTCCTGGGGCATGGGAGACTGCAAGTCAAAGTCTGGTATGAAACACATTCAGTCTTCCATGCCCTGAAAGATTATCCTAACAACCAGGCATTCTGGTCTAGCTCCCTCCCAATCTCTGCTGCTCAAGCTTTGTAAACAAACAAATTCGCAAGGATGAAAAGAAGACAGATCTAATTGCATTACTGCCATCCTTCTCCCTTTTGTAGTTGCCACACAGCAAAGGCAACGTTAAACTAGTGATTAGACAGGGAGGTGATCTGTATAACTGTGAAAGGAAAGGGAGATGCCCCCAGGATTGGCTCCCTGATATGGAATGGTTTGCACTCAGAAAAAATTAATACCTTCATCCATCAAAACAGTTTTTCAGGCCTCAGTCCTGCCCTCCCACTTCGTCCTTAAATACTTGTTTCACCTGTATGTGACCAAAGAGGTGCGCCCATGACCTCTAATCACTGGTTTCTGCGGCTTTATATTGTTGGCATTGTTCTCTGGTCTCTAAATCCTCTAAAAAAGGATTTTAAATTAAATAAGCAAAAATAGGAGCTTGTGAAGCCAGGTGGTTTTGAGCCCATCAAAGAATTATGAAGCAGGAAATATAACATTATAAACTTCATTTCCACTGATAGCCTTTTATACTGCCTAACTCCTAGCCTGTATGCGCATGTCTGACTCCAGAGATACTTCTCAGTTGAGGTTGTGCCAGATAAGAACGATAACAGAGCAGTTTTCAAAGACAGAGTTAGGCAAGCCTGAGCAAGTAGCCCGTGTTAATTGCCACTTGATGTGAACATACTTAGCATTATTAAGTTTCTCCTCATCATTCAGGTCCTCTGTTTTCAAGAGGTCATATTTGATTGATCCTGGTTGAATGGCATCAATGAGATCCAGGACAGGCATGCTGGTGCTGATTTTGCCATCCTATAAAGGTGAAAAATACAATTAGATGCAAGAACAGGAAAACAGGTCTCCCAGAAAGCCAAAGGCTAGGCTCAAGAGCAGCAGGCAGCTCAGATGAATACCATTTAGATCTTTACGGAGATCTTTTCACAATAAACACCTTTCAACAAAATCTGTATATCTGATGTGCTTTTAAAAGGGAAGGAAACATAATCTAGCTATGTTGTTAATTATATAATAATACAGTGTGTGAGTATGAATATATATACACATATACACACACTGTATATAACATACATATGAAAATATGGAATAAGAGATTCCTAAGCAGAGACTCCTAATAAAAAAAAAAAAAAATGTACCTTGAAGCTGGAGATGGTTGAATTCTTCCCAGCTGCAGTCAGTGTCTCATTTACCCAGCTGACAATGATTTCATCATTGACCTTCTCTCCACCACCGATGTCTTCAAGGATATTCAGTGTGTACCTTAACAGGGAAGCCCGAACAAACGTTTCTCTGCTCAAATTTGTCTGCTCAAATTCTATCACAACATCAGAACCACTGTGTACATGCGCAGCTTAACTTGGACAAACCCAACAGTCCTCTGCTACCTGATATCCCCCCCATACATACGCACTATATATAAATTATAATGTAACATGCTATTTCACCTAATAGGCCTAATTCATTCCCAATTCTCTAATCATTGTTTTCGTAGTGTCAAAAGGTTTTGACACTCAAAATCCCTAAAAGGTCCCAGTTAGTGGATCTTAGTGTAAATGACTCATTCTCACAGTGTTTAAAAAAATAATCACTAACTTGAAGGGCAGAAGGGAATTGTTATGTTCATCTAAGATGGACTTTCTGCATAAACACAAGCCTAGAATACTTTGTTTATATGACAGCAAACATATTGGAAAGACATCTCCTATACTGATGGCAACTAATCACCATGTCCCAAGGTTATTTATCTCCCTGATAAACCTATATCTTGCTTTTAGATTGAATGCAGTCTGTACTCACCTCCTAATCACTGGGTCTCTTTACACTTCATTATGAAGCTCTTAAAAACACGTGCGCACACATATACACGCACAGAAAATTATATTAAAGTGGGAAGAGCTACTCAGTTGCATCCACTCCAGGGAGCACATTACAGAACCTCTCACTTCTGCATCAGTTCCTTTTTTTCCAGTACATTCTCCCCATTTCCTGATGCAGAGACCTTTCATCTTATTTTTATCTGTTCCACACGATGAACATTTATTCATGCTATACTGATAGCAACAATAATAATCTTCTGCATGAGCTGAATATAATGGCCTTGCCCTCAAGATAATGTACTTCATGATCACTTCTCTAACTAGGAGTGAGCAGAAGGTTATGCTGTCTTTGCATACGTATGCAAATAGATGAATGTAAGAGCCGTAGCCTGTAGAACCTTCTCTGTACTAGCATCAGAAAACTATTACTATGCAAACTGAGTATACCAAAACAATCATAGGCTTGTGATTGATTGCCATACCTTCTCATCAGCTGCCAGATCAAGGCCAGTGTGAGTGTACGGTTTCCCTCGTTCAAATCTTGCCCAGCAATTCCAACAAGGGAGAATTTGGCTTCATTCTTTCCCAGTTCCACTGCATAGTTGCAGTTTTCCAGCTGTTAATGACAGGGTCAGTTAGTACAGTTCAAAACTATAGGGAAAAAAGTGCCTTTCAAGACATCTACTGTGACTTTAAATTCTTTGGGGCACTTAGCACACATCCCCTAAACAGACTTGGGTAAACAGAGCTATCCTTTTGGGCTCTATGATAATACAGCTGTTTGACTGCCAGCAGCCAGATACAGGTTCCATCCCAAAGATACCATGATAAGAGTCAACTAACAAAGAAATGTAATAATTATCATCTGATAAACAGAATACCCTGGAAAACATGAATCTACAGCTCATAGGTACCTCCAGCAACATGGCATTGCACTGAGACAAAGGACATTAGTATCTCAGTCAATATTTTAGGTCAGTCACTCACCCTACCCTAACTGGACAGTATTATTCATCCAGATAACTGTGAGAAATCGTGCATTTAGCAGCCAATCTGTGACCAGTTAATGAGGCACCTAGACACGAATGTTTAATATCACCATCTTCATTCAATGTGGAGACGGTGATCCAGACAGCTGCAATTAATCTGAGGCCAAGGACTGATGATGAAGATGCATTATAATTGGTGAATAAAACAGTAGCAAAAGTGGTCTGCAAATAATTTTTTTGAAATATTGATATGAAAGGTGTCAAGTCTTTTTACATTACAAATATTGTTCACCTGTCAACAGAGCTAGTCAGTCAGATGTATTTTTCTTTTTCCGGGTGAAAAATTATTCACTGAATAGACAAAAAAAATCATTTGACCTGCTCTACTGGGGACTCGAGAGTAACACATGAATGCCCAAATTGCTATTTGAAATGATATAGACATCTTTTTAGGTAAGATGTTATTGGAGCTATTCCAGCTTATTGTACCTTCTTCATGTTGCCACCAAGTTTAGGATATGGTGGTTTGTTCACTCTGTTCCAGTCTACTGGCACTTTGATCTTTTCGTAGAGCTGGAAGATAACCAAGGCATCTGACAGGTCACTGAAAACAATAAAAGATGTATCATTGTCCAAAGAACTGAAGAAAGGAATCTAAGCCATTTGTAGAAGTAAACTTAGTTTCCTAAAAAAAAAAAAAAAAAGAAAATATAGTATCTATTCTGATAGGGAACAGAAATTCTTCTGTGTTTTCTGTGAACAATGTGCTGGCTGTATTTATCATTTTAAGGAAGTGTAATACCTCCTCTTACCTATATAAGTGATTTACACGTGGATTAACACCCAGGGAGTTCATCCAGTTTCTAAACGTTCTTTCTTCTCTTGTTTCACCTAAAACAACAGACATATCAATCAACAGGCCTGCAAAACACAACAGTACAGTAAAATAAGTGTCTTGTGATGAAACTATAACTCACAATTTACAGTGCACTGAACCATAAGCAGAATGAGACAGTGGATGACAGGTGAAATAAGAGAGCACAGTGCAGCACATAGTATTTCTTCATGCCCTATATATTACAGTAGTTAGGTAGATTGGCCTTGAAACGTCTCCAAGAACTCGAAACTAGTCTTTGCCCTAGCGTGAACAGTTTCATTCTGAGGCTTCTGAGAAACTTAAAAATAATTGAAAAGCTAGATTTATTCCAAGTCTCTCTTCGTAAGCACAGACTATGCTGAATAAATACTAGACAGAGCAGGGCGCTTCCATTCAGGTCAGCATTTAAGTACTTGCTCAACTTTACTCTCATAAGCAGTCCCACTCATCTCATGGACACCACGCATTTTCTTATTTTTAAATACATAATTAAATACTCTGCCGATTCAAACTATAAGAGCTCAGCCCCTTAGAAGATTAGCAGTCTTCAAATGCCACTTTTACTGTTTCAAATAGTTCTTCGTTTGCAGTAGTCAATAGCATAACCACTTTATTAGAAATACCACATGCAAAAACTAAGAATGGGCTGACTGTAATGAAGATATCTCCTAAAATCATGCCACAGCTATTGCTCAGTGAGAGCCAGACTCAGAAACGAGTTAAATGTTTTCAGTTCAGATGTCTGTGAGTTAGCTCTGCACCAAAAAAAAAAAAAAGTAAATGTTAGCAAAAAAAAGAAAAGTACGTTTCTCTTCATGTTCCCCTTTTTAACAGCATCAACTCTACAGAACTGTGTCTCTGAAAATTACTAGTATAGAATGTTTTCATCCAAGAGGACATTTAAGAAAGTTTAGAACCAGAGAAAGAAGAGAAGCATTTTCCAGTGGTCATTGTACAAGTGAGAATGAATGCCAGTTATCTGGAATTAGCACCTGCATAAGAACTGAAGTACTGCCTGAGTCTAGGCTGCAGTGACTCCAAATCCAGTGCTCAAGTCAGAACAAAGGACCTGACGCTCAGCAAATGATTCATACAGCAGTGGTCCTGACCCCAACCCAGAGCCAGCAGACAGAAGTTTATGTAAAATCAGATTTTTTAATTATATTTTAAATTAGTGGAATGTCCAAAAAAACTGTAATTATTACTAATAAGCACGGTCAATAGTGAATACGAGTTCAGAAACCCCACAGAAGTGTGACCAAGGTCCCAAAACATTTGGATCTTTGAACATGTGCTATCTACAGAATAGATAACCCAAAACACCTGGAGCCGCATGCAAGTAAAGAGCAACCTCTCTTTCTCAAAAATGTCTGTGCTAACAGTACAGTTGATATATATCTAAAGGAAGTAAGGTTAAGTTCTGAACTTAGAGCAAGGGATAGCTGTGAGACAGACGGCCAGAAATATCCTTTACTTGTATTTTCCTTACCTTCAATAGAGCTCCAGTCAATGTCCTGGTTCTCTGGTTTGTGCAGGGCAGGGTATTTGTTAAATAAGTTGGCGACGAAGGCCAAGTTCAGCTTCGGGTTCCCGCGGACTACATCTGTGGCTGTGACAAACTGCCGGCAGCCCAGCCTCTCCGCCTGCTGCAGCATGCACTCCGCTCTCTGGACGTCGTCCTTCTCCTGGGTGGGCAGAAGAGAGGGCAAAAGCTGCCTCAGCCCAAGCACGGACATGTGCTGGCCTCACCCCACAGTGGCACAGCACTGACCGCACCAGGTCTCTGCGCGCTAGAGGTGGGGCTGCTAACGCAGACCCTGCTAAATTTATAACATTGGCCTGTTGTTTGTAAAAGTGGGACAATGTTTTCAAAGGAGTTTGCCTACAACCAAGCCATTTCACCACAACTATTTTTAAGTTAAATCTCGTGTATTAGGGGACAAGTTGAAGAAACTCACAATGAATGTATTTAGGTGTACTTGCTACACGGCAGTAGTTTATCTGTGAGGTTCACTGGCTGCTGAAGTTTCAGCGATAATAACTAATCTAACTTAAGGAAAAATGCATCACTTTTAATTCTTTTAAACTTTCTGAAATACAAGATCAAGTTGCAATGCTAAACAGGGTTTGTTTGTACTGGTATCACAGTGCATCCCAGTGTTGGCCAGCAATGCAAATAACAGACACAAAATATCGACGTTTACTCTAAACTTATCTCATCTTACCCTTAATCCTGACATGTCAATAGTAATAGCCGGAATGCCTTCTTCATCTCCCTTGGGGGCAACTTGGTTCAGCAAATGGTAATAAGCTCTTGAGTCCTGTGACAGACAGACAGATTAAAGGGAGAAATATTACATTTAAAGCTCAGGTTTTGCATCCCAGTGCTCCCCCTGAACAATGTGCATGCATGCTTCGTTTTTATTAAATCAACCGTTCGACAGTATAATTAAATTAATAAAACTGGAGCACTTAGCAATTTCCACTTTATGCTGCATTTGCCAGATCCATTTCTTCCCTAAGCCAATAGATTTATGCTACAGGATGCTCGAAGCACAAGACACAATACTGTGTTGCATTTACACGAATGACAATAACAACAAAGAGAGAGTAGAACTGATTTAATACAAATATTAAATTAGAGATAAGAAAACTTATACCTTTATAATGCTGTAGAAGTCAGGCTGCCGAGTGTTTAATAAAAGAAAATGCAGAAGGAGAAAGCAGAAGGAGAAAGCAGATTTAAAAGAAGTTCTGGAATAGTTATGGAAGAGAAAGTAAAGCTTTCAAGGACAAAAGTTAAAACTGACAACAGTATCAGCATTTTTCAGGGAAAAGGGCAGGAACAAGACAAGTATTTAACATGTTGTGTCTTTAAACTTTCGTGAAAGTAAGGTTGCTTCCATGTGTGAAAAGTACTAATCTCACTTTAGAAATAGCTCAAAGAAGAACTGGAAACTAAGCTCCAGGTTGGTCTCCAGGAACCTGACCAAGTAACTGGGGTAATACTCTGCAAAACAGTAACAGCCTGAAGACCTATATTTCTTAATTTTATCCTTTCTTCTAAAGGAATACTGTCTATTCACTGTATTTCTACACAGATGATTTGTTATGTATCTGCATGCGTTCTAGAAGATGGGTATTTCTAACAGGAGTGAGGTGGAGAGACGCACCTAATTAGATAATGACTGTAAAAGCTGAAGTCTTGGTCTCTGTGAAAGAAATATGTACCTTATTTTCCAGCTTTAAAAACAGTAAGTGCCATTTATGTCTTGGCTGCAGTTAGCGTTTGATCAGTTGCATTATAGCCCTCTCAGCCAGCCCGGATACGGATACCAAAGGTGAGGAAGACTCCACTGCCTTCCCTTTCCATGTATAGTCTGTAGTCATCTCCATACAGCGAACTGCATAGATTTTATTTAGTTCTATAAAAATTGTATTGCTGAATGTAACTCTCAGACTATCCTGCTGTCTTCCCCTGGCAGTTTTTTCCTCCGTGTCAGTTAAGTCATGGTAAATGACACTCTGTGCATCAGTCCTTTATGAAGCCTGCATCCAGGCATCTCAGCAGCAAGATCTTTTTCCCATCCCGTGCTAGACAGCTGCCAAGTTGGGCCCTGACCATTGAGGTCAGCATGCCAGCCAGCCCAGGGCCTGCCTCGCAGCCTACGCGGGGACGCTCTCCGCAGATGCACCCTTTACAGCCCTGAGATGCTGTTTGACCCTCACTTTTGCCTCATCCCCCCTGGTAAAACAGCCAGGACAGGCTGTCGCCTACACATCTTTGCTAGGAGGCATGAAAGGACTCTGCGGTGGCCAGTGCCTCTTATGGAGCCTCTCACATCCCAGATCACATCTAACTTACATTAACAGAGTCTAATACAAAGCTCACTGAATTCAGGAGGAAGATAACCTGTCAAGTTCAAAGTCTCAGACTGCAGCTTTAGTGTCTGAAACTCATTCGTGTGTACCACTGAGGTTCAGATATTTCTATATGAGAAGGATGAAGGTCTTAAAGAGAAACCTGCGCTGAAATCTTCATACGCAAGCCCACGAATTCCAAGTACATGAAGTGAAATGCATGGACCATACAGCCCTGCAAGCACCTGCCCTTCTAGGCATATTGTGATGAATAGTCCCACTGATTTAAAGCTTCTAGTTAAGTGCAAGCAGGGTTATAGCAAAGGTGGGGCCAGAGGAACATATACCCCTGGTGCTGCCCTGAAGTAAACACCAAACAGAGGAATTAGAAGAACCCCATCTTCTTGCCCTGCCCCTAGGTTACATGTTTGACTAGAGCCCAACCTTTTCCAAATCAAACCTGGGTCTAGAGGCAATAGGAAGAAACTGGATAAGTCCACAGAGGTGGGACATTTAGGAGAAGAGACAGCAACAGGGGTAGGGCATGCTGGGGCTGGCAGTGAAGTCGAGGAGGTCTGGAGGAGGAGGAAGAGTACTGAGTGGAAATGTAAAGCCCACCAAAATGCCTTTGAGTACCCAGCTGCTGTTTTCAGGATGATTGCTCAGATTGTTTCAGTGCACATTCCTTTTTGGATGACAGGGATTTGGGTGTGGAGCTACTGTTTTGCTGCTGCTAGACAGTGGATCTCATACCTTGATGTCTGAGCTGAAGTTGTTGACCTTGTTGCATCCTGCATTCTCCAGATGATAGTTTGCCCACCTCAGCAGCAGTTCCTCTGGGGACAACTTCATCAGATCCTCCAGGCTCTCTCCTTCTCTCAGAAGAGCAATCAAAGCTATGAAAGGACAAAAGAAATAAATTAATAAATTAATTAATAAATAAATGTCATGCACTGCAGTACTTCCTTTTTCACTGTATTCTTCCTCAAGAAATGACAGGACAAGAAGCAACAGGCACAAGTTGCAACGTGGGAAATTCTGATTATATATTAGGAAAAAGAGTTTACTCTGAGGTTGGCCAACACTGGAAAAAGTGCCACAGCCATGAGCAACATTATCTGGGCTAGCCCTACTTTGAGCAGGGCTTGGGCTAAACGACCACCAGAGGCCCCTTCCAACCTAAATTATTCTACAGTTCTAACTCAAGAGCTTGACCTTGCAGAAGCCAAGGGGTCATAGCAATGCTCTCATGTGCCAGAGAGGCTGAGGCAGAATTAAAGCTATCATCTGATCCGATGCTTATGTTACTGATGTTATGGAGATTTGTAGAAGAGGCTTTACAACTATTTTCTCTCTTATACATTTTGTTACGCTAATTTCTAAAAGTGAATAGCAAAAGTATTGTTAAAATTCAAGGGGAGTTAGCCTGGTAGAAAACAAACATCAAAAGGTTCTCATCAATAAAAGAGGACAACGATTTTAGTGGTGGATCTAATAGTGGATCACATACATAGAAATGAAAGAGACCGTCAGTGTGGTCTAAACACTAGCTCATTTCCTTGCCTCAGATTTTAATGAAAAAATGATGATGTTGAACACAGGAGCAAAGACGGGAAAGAAGGAACGAACAAGGAGTTTCTGCAACTCAGGGGAAAGAAATCTCCATGGCCTTCACACTGAAACTGGATCCATACTGGAATTCTGAAGAACTTGCACAATTTTGTGTTGATCAAGATGCCAAAACACTAATATACCTGGGTGTCGACCATCATTCCTGACCTACTGAGCATGAAATTGGCCCTGCACATATAACCCTACAGATAGCCTTCGATTTGGAGTGCTAGAACTTGTGGAGAGTAAGTGAAGTGAGAGCAGTAAAGAAGATAGGCAAGGGAGACTTGAATAAAAAATTGAATTAAGAATAATTAAAAAAAAAAAACTTTATAAAGACAGTGCAGTGATAACATTCCTGCTAATTTCTATGTCAGCAAAGAGTCCAATTTTGATGACTTGCCATAAAAGACCCAAAACCAGGTAAGGTTTCCCTTCTTTCAAGTCTTCAGCACCAATGTTAACAACATGGCACCCAATGGCTGAAGCAGAGTTCAGGGCCAGGTTCAGATTTTCCTAGGAAAAAAGAGAACTTCCTAATGATGCAAGAACTAGAGAGCTAAGAGGATGCAGGAAGGGAACGCAGGCAAAGCTAGTGAAACACCTAACACCTAGCATCTTCACTGTGAACGTCATGGCAAACAGGCCTTCCCGGTGCTGAGCGTTCGCAGCAGGGGAGCCCAGAATCTTCTGGGACTACAGGTAAGTTCTGGGTCCCAGTGCAAAGAGGGAAGCAACCTCCCTAGGTGAGCTGAAAGGCTTGGGTGCCTGGCCTCACCGTCTCACAGGCACTGATGCTCAGAGCATACATCTACATCCACAGCGATGCTCTAGCGCAATTACGCTCTCAAAGCCAGGCTTTCCCCATAACCGCATTGCCAACATAGAAGCACACACTGAAATGCAGCCTCAGTTTCAGCATGGAGCAAGTTCTCCTCCGCTCAGGCTTGCACAAAAGCAGGGATGAAGACGCTACAACCCAGCAGCTATCCCAAGCTCAGCTCTCCCTAAGCACTATGCAAAAAAGCCCTAACACCTAATGTACAGATAGGTTACTAGCTGACAATGTATACGAAAAGCTCACAGTCATAGGACTCGGTATGAATTAACCCACTGAATTTTTAACCTTGCAGTTTAGCCAAGGTGAGAACTGGACAAGCCTGGATATTTTCTGTTTTGAACTTTGGAGCTTGGAGTCGGGTTGGTAGTGTTGGGTGGAAGTAAAGGGATTCTGTAATTCATAGTAAGGGACACAAAGAAAGTGATGCTTCAGGAATGCTATCTTCCTTCACCACTTCCTTCCCTTTTAAAACAAAGGGTATAAAGAAATCTAGCCCAAACGTTTGGAATATTCAGGAAGGCGTCTTAGTAAGCAGAGGACAAGAGCCTGGTAAATGCCATTTATCACACACATCTGCAATTTTTCACATGAATTTCACCACCACTGGCATGACAGAAAGAGTTGATTAGATACAAATTGCAAAGAGAGACAAGTGTAAATTCTCATAAGCTGGAAAAACGGGAGCGTTTCAAATTAATTACCTTTTCTCCACTAGACAGCTGTAAAAGGGTTAAGTTAAAGTGGAAGCTATATTGATCAAATCATGTCTATATCTGACAGGGATTGATCTGGGCTGCATCACTAAGCTATGCTGCTGACCAAAAGGATTAGAACTGAAAAATGTGGTATACAGCATAAAAATCCAATTTAATGGCTTCTGAGCTTACTTGAGCCTGGCTAATGTTCCATCTAATCAGAGTAGCTGAGGGCTAAACTGGGTTAGGTTTATATCCATGCTATATATCTATTTATGTTTTATACCCAGATACACAGACGCTTCTCATATGAAAATACCCCTCTACATACTACTGTGTGAGAAACAGAATAAACTTTGAATAAGTGAAAACTTGCTTTTTGGTCCCATTTTTAAATCATATACATGAGCACATAAAAGAAATGAAGAAGGCATTCAGTATTCAAAGTGAAAAAGCACAAACTGTAAGAGATAGGCAAAAGCTGTAGTTCTGTTCAGACAAGTTGCACATCACAGCATTTACTGGCCCACAGCTAATACTTCAGTGAGGGCATCGGACTGCAGCACAGAAGGTGTGAATTCAAGTCTGTGGCCATGCTACTGATTACCTGCATGATCCTGGGGTATTTTTCAGTCTTCTCAGAGCTATTCCAACTAGAATTTGTCACCGTATCCTCTAGCTGCTCTTGCATTCATATGGCATCTATCACAAACGTATCTGAAGCTTTGAACTGGCAAACTTTTATACGTTGCTTTAAGCACACACACACAAACACACTTTGTTCCGGCAGATTACTCTTATGTTTAAAAAGAAACACAAATATAAATCTTTGCAACAGACAGTTTTGCCTTGTTGCGGAGGGGAGGACCATGATACCTCTAGCCCTTGCTCTAGTTATTTCAAAGCATGCTAAGGTGAAAAGCAAACAATCTCGTTACATTTTGGTACCTGTATTGTGAATGGGGTGAGTTTCTTTTTGTTGATTGTTCTCTCATCAATGGTATCTGGCACTGAAAAGTTGATCATCTTACTGGAAATAAAAGAAAACGCAACAGGAAATGCACTCTTTGCTATACTTGCACAAATACACTTACAGCTTTTGTCACCATGCTGTAGGACAACTTAATTAAAGAGCTGGAGAGTTTCTGCAGCAGATAGAAAGTCAAGGAATAACTACATATAGTCAGTCTCTTCTGTTTTACACAAACACACACATACATGCAACACTAGCAATTATTTTGGGTTATATACTGAACGTACTATAAGCACGAGGCCAAGAATACAGTAAGGTGAAGTTACATGAGAAGTTTATTTTGCAGAAATCTCATGCTGCTTTGTGTGAGCCCCAAGAAGGCCTTGAGCAAAAATAAAAACAAGTTTCAGAGCAAATCTCATTGGCTCCATCTCACTGCAAGAGCCCGCAAGCAAAGAAAAACACTCATTTGAAATAAAAGAAGATTTATATTTTTCAAGAGAAAAGGAGCAACAAACTGTAAAGCAGCAGTTTCGCTTTAGGCAGAGGTGTGAGTTTCTGCAGACTCATGGTCTCCACTTATAAGAACTATGGGCACTATTTACCAAAGTACGATGCCATCACCAACTGCCTGGAAGAGATCATCTGTTTCTGGATTCATTGGGACCACATGTTTACAGTCAGGGTCCTTCTCAAGGGCTTTATTAATCCAGTTGACAAAGGCATACTTTTCTTCCTCTGTGGACACAACATCAAATCCATCAGTTTGCTGAGTAACACCCCTATCGTTATTTAAGTTATAAAGGCAGAACTCATGGGGGAGAAAACTCTCCTAAATAGGAATGTGACCAACCAATGAACTCCTACAGTGGAAGAAGGCTCTGAGGAGACAGGCAAAGGCCATGTGCTCAGGAAGCCCTAGGAAGACTGTATGGAGTGATTGACCTCAGCTGTTGCAAAGGCAGCCAAACTTCATCTCAACACAAGAGGAACCAGAGGGTAGCCTTTGTTCTAGATAAACGGCTACATCAGCTGAGTGAAATCAACCAGCTGTGAAACTGTTTGTCCTCAAGTTAATCAAAAGAATGCAAATATGTCTTCTTGACTAAGCTAGACCAGCATGGGGGGGTGTATATGTGGCTTAGCCCAACGTACACCATAAAAACTGAACAACAAACAAAAAGAACGTTAAAGAGAATAACAGACTGGAGCTGGTTTCAGCCCACATATTCCTTCCCAGTGACTGAGGACACCTGGCATCGTGGCCGTGAACATATTATAAAGACGAGTAATGAAATTCATGTTTCTATTGTGATTCAACTGTACCTTGCAATTGCTACATACTGCTAAGTGTAATTTGTACTTGCAGTGTTATTTAAATGCATCACTGTATCATTTTGCTAAATCAAAATCCTGCGTAAATTCAAATAAGAACCCTCCACATGCGGAATATCTAAAAGAACCTGGTCAGAGTGTCCTGGACTCTGACAAGGAGCATTCAGAGGGCAAAAGGCAGATGTTCCCTTTAGTCCAACATGGCTGTGATGTAGCTATCCTGTGCCAGCAGCAGCCAGCACCACCCCCAGTAACTCAGAGAAGATGTCCTTTAAGCTTCTAGTAGGTGAGGATGCTGGCAGTGCCCTCCGCTCTGTCCTTTCCAGGAGAGAGGCAATTCTCTACCTCCACTGCTGGAGAAGACAGTAGAGGGTGGGAGCTCCTCGCTGCAGAGCTGCTTTGGTGAGGCTAAAGAACCAAGAGAACCGTGGTTGCTCCAAACCTTTGGCTCAGAGACACAACCTGGGAGAAAAGTTCTGGGGTGTCGTGTACTCTTTAGCGAAAAGGTCAGGAACCATTTGGTTACAGGTGAGTTTACAGGAAAACTGTCAAAGAACTGGTGAAATGTACTAGGAAATGGGTCAGCAGCAGGGGGGGGATCCTTGCCTTGCCACTCAGCAGGGAGAGTTGAGGGCCAGAGGTTGCCTCTGCGCTGATGAGCCTTTGCTCTGCGGCCATGCCAGGAGGATTTTTCTCCAGCAGGGTTACAGTGCTCCTCTGGTGAGGGCAGCTAAGCCGGCTAAAGGTTTCTTCCGCAGACACGGCTCTATCTACCCCAATAAACCGGCGCATGCTATTTTTGGCAAAGATCTTGCTCTGAAGTTTTGTCATCTTCACAGCTCTTTGACTTGAATCAGCCTCACCTGGGTAATTTCTACTGCTACTGAAGCTCATAAAGGCCAGCTTTGCACCAAAATAAGGTATAAGTGATATGTAAGAGAATACGCGTTCCTAGTTATGCCGGTATTAGACAGCTGTACCCACCTGAATAAGAGTGTTGTGTGCCAGCACTGGACTGCTCTGAAGTCCCACCAATAGCACAGATCCCCTCCTTTTTATTGATTTGTTTTCGGAATGATTTAGCAACATCATCGCTCTTCAAGCTCTGGAAAATCTTTCAAACACACGAGACATTTAAAATTTTAGAGAAATAAACCAAACTAAAACTGTGAGCTCTTGGGCCATTAGATATGCCCTCCTCTCTGCTTTATATATAGATTTTTCTGCATAAAATCAAGGACCAACACATCTATCTGCCTTAGTAGAACAGGATCATACACAGTTTTTATATTTTCAAAGCATTGAAAAATGATCAGCTAAGTAACAGAAACATATATGGTGTGAAACCACAAAGCCATTGCATGAGGGAGGAGGGGCTTTGAAAGTTTCGGTTTGTAAAAAAGGCTTGTAAAAATCTGTTTCTCCATCTTAAGGGAAATTCCACTATTTTATCAGTTGCTTCTGTCCCACTTCTGAGCAAAAAAAGATGCTTTTTAGTACAAGAAATGCCCCATAAGTTTTCAGTTTCAATCTGCTGAAATATTTATGTCACCGTCTATCCAAAGCATTATATTTTGTCAATTTATAATTGAAAAATTTCATCCCTTTGTGTTAACCAAACCGAAACATATTATGTCTGTTCGCCATACAGCTGCATTCCTGTAACTTCTTCCATTTAACTGTGGGATTTCTAGTTTGGTTAACTCATGCTCTCATTTTTTCCACTGAGTGGAGCTGCTTGGCTGAGCTACGTGCCCGTAAGACATTGTAATTATGCCACTCCTAAGACGCGGCGACCACACTGAATATCCCACGATGTGCCACGTGGCCAGCGAGCCTGGCCTAAAGGAAGGAATGGTCACATGAAGTGCTTGAACTCCTGCAAAACTGTACTCAGAAGTACTTTTAGAACGATGCTGCTTAATGCTGAACTGACTCAAAATAAGATAATGACTCAGTTCATCAAACTACGGTCTTTTGATTTAGCCAAAAATAGAATTAAAATGAAATCTCTGATTTCAATTTTCTGAATGGATAATGAAAAGCAGTTTGGGAAAACTAAATGTTTACCCACAAGAAAAGTCAGTTTTATGGAAATGATATTCTCAGTCAAAGCAATGTTTTGAACTGGAAATTCCCAACTCACTCTATTTTTACAAGTTAGGCTTTTTTTCCTTCTGTACTTCTTTTTAGAAGTTATTCTCTGAGATAACATTTTACTTACTGAAATAAATTCATCAAAACTGATCCTGCCATCTCCTGTGGTTGTCAAATTCTGAATAAGTTCTCTGGCTTTATATCCTGGCAGAGGGAGATTGGCTGCTTTCAACACATCTGTTAAATCATTAGTGTGGATGAAGCCATTCCCACCAATATCTGTAAAGATTAAAACAAACATTTAGATTCTACATCTGCCTCATGAAATTTTCTGCACACAAAAGCTGCTGTCTTTATTTTACCTTAGGAATTGTACATTCTGCACAAAAATTTGCTATCCTGTGATAAGCTATGATAAAAGGTCCAGTATTTTCAACCATTGCAGTGACATTTACATCAAGAATTATAATCACTATTAAACAAACAAAAAATTCACAGTGATGAATTTACATATTTTTAGATATAAAGTATTACTTTAACAAAGCCATGTTTAGATGCATACAATTGAAATTTCAGGGTTTACATATACACAAACATTTAAGTGATTTATAGAGAGATTATATCGTCTATAGAAGAGCTAAAGAATATTGAGTTGATACGATATTGAGTTACACCTTACACCTGCATATATTCATAGATATAACTTGTGATTTTGGCCTGTTACCTGCATCTAATATCATCAGAAAGCACGTGCTTGGGTTTTGGATATGCATATGGTTGTCCTTTAAGTCAAAAGCTGTATGTTTCTCTCGGATGGTGCTAATATGGCTAGTCCTGCTAAGCTTACTGCAGGATCCATTAGTGCCAGGATAGGATTTTAATTTGAAGTGAAGATCACCACTGCGGTTTAAATAGTTCCTTCTTCTGTATTAGTTTGTGAAAATCCCCACAAATAAAAAAAAGGAAATTGACTGTCTATAAGAAAATCCCTGGAACCTTGCATACACTAAACGCTAACAAATGTTCAAAGTATGCAAATACTTTGCAAAATGAAAAACTGACAGTGGTTAGAGTAGAATACTCATATTTTCTCTGATTTCTTACAATGGTAGCAATCCTTCACGGCATTTGAACAAATGGTAGCAAATATACCCTGGGGCATGATTTTTCCAAAAGGTGATTTTTCCAAAAGGTGCCTCGTATTTTATTGTCTTTCATTTCTCCATAACTCTGGGGAGAGAGACTATGCCTGCAGGTCTTTAGCATCGGTATTTTTGTTCCAGCAAGCTGTAGAACTCTACTGACATTTTAAAAATAAATGTTCAGTGTATCTAGGTTTGTTTTGAATTTCTTAAAGAATACCTTTATGTTTTAACAGTAGAGTATTTGAATTGTGTGGATAGTTTCTATTGATCTTTACGAATACATAAATATTTTATATTAATGTGTTTCTTGTCCTGCCTCTAGTTCTGCAGTTTCTTTTTCCGCAGCTCAGAGGCAGAAGGTTGCTCAAAGACCAAAGACCTGTGTGCTGACTTCCTGTGTGGTAAGTTGCAGATTGAGTCACTCATTTGCTGAATGGTGCAAAAAGGCCTAAATACTAATTTGTCAACATCAGTGGCACAGATGAATACGTTGCAAATAGCATCCTAACCATTGCTGAAATCACATAGCAGTAGGATCTGGACTTGGAGAAACAAAGGTCTGGGAGATAAATGAGGGCTTCCTTCCAAAATTTGACCTGTCAGTACATTGGGTATAGTGGGCATGCACAATGACCAGATGTTTCAGATTGCCAGCTGGGACTGTTGTGCGCTGAAAAATCAAAAGATCATCACCTGAAGCCGTACAGACAGCTGAATGACACATAAGCCAGCGTGGCGTGGCTGGCACACTGGTTAATAAAAGTAAGTGAGCTATGAGAAACAAGAGGATTTTTTCTTAGAATTGGGAAGACAGTGATGGATCAGCATGACTCTAAGGGAAACAAATTAGATGAGACCTTTATAGGCCCTGAAAGAAAACATACATACATTTTAAAAATATATAGGGATTAAAGGGTCATAGTAAAGAGATTACAAATTTTGTAGTCATTTGCACCTTTGTCCACTCCTGACTCTTCTTCTGCAGAAGGAGTAGGCAATGTTTGCATTAAAATAAAAACTTTTTGCCTTCTAAATCACTTGCCAGGAATAAACCGTACTAGGAAAATACTTTGATCTATTTCTGACATGGTTTTCTGTGTAGGTTTCCAAATTATTTCATAAAATCTGCTACTCATCGCTCCACCATCTCTATGCAGCAGCAACAGGCCATTGCTCTACAGCATGCTAATGTGGTTTCATTTAGAAGGTCTGCAGCTGTAGGAAAATGCCCTTCAGTGGCTTCCACAACACAGCAGGTTGGTGATGAAGTAATCTTCATTTCATCCCAGCTGGTCAGTATAGAAGAAAATGGTGTAGTACAACTTCACATTTTGCTTTATTGTACTCACCAACTTTGCTGAAAGCCTCTCTTAGCTCTGCCATCTCTTCCTCTGTGAAGTGTGCTGCTGATGCCATTTTTACTTCTCCAAGTGACAGCTCTGCAAGAAGAAAGCACACATTTTCATTTAATGCCTTTTGCTTTTTGCAGTCATAATGAAAAAGAGACGACGCCACTGCCTCATTCATTTCAAGAGTCATTTGGAATTAACAGCAAGACTCAAAATCTTGGGATGGTTCTTCAGAGCTGACAACCCAGATCTTGCCTGCATCCAGAGATCTAGTGAAGGGGTCAAGGAGTACACGAGATATAAAATCTATGTCAGTCCTCCTATTTTGCCAGGCCTTACTCAAAATGCTGGCAGGCTTTTATACTAACTTAATTTGAATTAAATCCTGCACCTGCTAAGTTTTGTTCTGCATGGAGAAAGCAGACAAAATTGTGCTACTCATTGTAATTCCCACCTTGCAAACACAGTCTAACATAGCTAAAGGTGTTCTTCAGGGAACACGGTGAAGGTACAACTTGCTGCCATGGCGAGAGGCTTACATGCCCCGTTAGCAACATGCAGCATACACTCTCAGAACCAATTTCTACTTTGCTGTCACAAAACACGTTTCTTTAATTTTGGATAAACTGGCAGAAAAGTGGCAGAGCTTTCTTCTGTCTGCTTCCTGAGTTCTGGTTTGGAATTAAACCTCTGAGGGGTGTTTGCCTTTCTTTAGGTACCTCCGTAGGAGCTGATCACCTAAGTCCCTTCGATAGTTGATGGACAGAGAGAGGTTCCTTCCAAAAGCATTCCAGAGCACCAAGTTAGTGTCTCCAGGGGCCAACTTCTCTTTCCCGAACAGAGGAAAAAGAGTCTAGGGAGGAGCCCGCAAGGTACCAAAGTTAGGGCCTAAAGTTAGGTAGCTCTTTAGCAATGGATTGGAAAGAATTTTCCAGCCTTTTCTCTCTTCAAAGCCATAAGACAGGAGGAAGGATTCAATTGCACTTACGCACATTTTGATTATTAAGAAAATTGCCTAGAAAGGGAAGGTTTACTTCCATCACGTCATACAGTACCAGAAGATGCATATTATATCACTCTGCTTTTTACTTCACCTTGTGTCCCTCACATCTATTTATGCAGAAAACTCTTTAAGATTATCTATTACTGTGTATCTGTGAGAACAACTCTGGTGTCTTGTGTCTCTTCATGTATTAATTTACCATGAAACTATCTAAATGGAATAGAACAGAAACCTGAATTAGTCCTGGAAAGTGGTTGCTGTAGTTGCAACATTTAAATTTAACAAAAAAGAAGCAATCCAGAAATGCCCTAGTCCCAGATTAAAAACACCATTGCATCATGGAGGCTTGGATTCCAAACTTTCTATGAAGATACACTGTAAGGATTTTAAAAATGATAGATTTATTATAGCCCTTTACAAATACACAGAGTTGTGCACAGCTTATCTGGGCTTCAGGTTTAATGCTCTCCTGAACTTACGCATTGATTCCTTCTATCAGTGGGCTGTGGTATAGAAAGAGAACCATTACCAAAATGGATATGAAATAGCCCAAAGGCAATCTCATGTGGTTGGTGCTTTCATCTGCTGTTTCCCTGCACTATCATGCCTTATCTCCTCATCACTGCAATTTTGGGGTAAGGACTAAAAACAGCTTCCAGAGAAAAATCTCTTCACTCACTTCCACTTTCATAAGTAGAGAAAAACAGCATAGTACATAATGCATTTGCCCGAGAGCCCCTGTGCAGTCTTCAGCATGAGGGAGCTTGTGACTGCTTCTGAAATCCTAATCAAATATTGAAAGTGGTTCTAACCACTATACTTTAAAGGCTTATCTGTAAAAATCGCTGTGATCCACTAGCAATGTGGGCTATATATATTTGGGTAAAATGAGAGGGAGTTTACCCCATAGTTAGTTTTCTTCAGTAACTGCTGATATCCATAGTCTTCCTCCTTCAACCTGATATGTTTCCTGCCTCTGATTCCTCAATGCTTATCTTTTAATGTTGCATGGGTGCATGTTTTTGGAGCATGTGGATTACGTAAAAAGCACCTGGATGATGCATGAACACACTGTAGTGCTATCATCAAGAAGATCCATATTCCATTGCAAGATCATTTCTTCCAATTGAACCATTTTATCAAGCAATGTAATTTGCAACCCAGCCTTTAATACTATTAAGACTGTTCTAGAGCATAACAGATAAGAAACACATAAGATAAGAGCACAACAGATAAGAAACAGATAAGATTGTTGCTATAACACATACTACTTTTGTGAAGAGTTTTATAATTTCTAGAAAAATTTATCATCAACATAAGTTGGACATTTTTAATTGCGTAAGAGGTTGTGGCCTTCTATTCCAGTAATTTACTGATCTCTTAAATACAGAGAATCTTATTCATATTATATATTTAAATATGTGTATATGTGTTTGTGTGTATGTGGGTATATATGTAAAGCATATATGGCTAGGCCTAAGGTTTTGCTGTAACACACTCTTCTGACATCTCCTGGGGGGTCAATATTAATTACTCTTTTGTAAAGACAGACACACTCAACAGGGAGATTAAATGATACCTTGAAACTATGACCTCAGTGCAAGAACTGGACCTAGATCACCCAAGGAGTAGTTGTACTCAGACCATGAAGCCATTGTTACTGTCTGCTCCACCGCCTAAGTGAGTTAGAATTTTTTCTGTATTTTCAGTTTCTTGGTATCTTTTGATTTCAGCCAGTCAGTGCCAGCACCTAATATCATGTGGTATTGCGGACAAACAAACTTGCTCTTTACTTAGGCAGTGAAGAGATTCAGACGGGCATGCTCTACCAGTAAGCCCCAAACTGCCATCTGCACAACTCAATCGCAGCTCTTTCAGCAGCCCAAGTGGCCCCTCATCTCCCTGAGGGTTTGACACTGCTGCCCATTAAAGTACATCCGCCACGTAAAATTTGTATCAGCTGCAAAATCCCCTTACAGTCATGACCCCTGCATGATTTCAGGAATATGTCTAATCCCAGTTTTGGCAATGGACTGAGGAAAGAATCAAAGGAAAGAACCAAAGGTCTTCCCTGCAGGTCTTCTGGGCTCGCCTGCAACCAGAATCCCTTCTGCTAAGTATACATGAGAGCCCTCAAATTTACATTGGGCTTATCAAAACCAGAATTTTAAGAGTTAAGATTTCAGAGTAATTCACAATTAAAAATCACTATCATTTCTGAAATTGTTTAAGCAATAAAACAAAGACAGGGAAATCAAGAGAGAGAAGGAGCTGTAAAAGTCTGAGGCTTTAGCAACACACAGCAAAAAGGAGCACTTTTTAAAAAGCTGCTTTTCTGTATATAAACTGCCTATTTTGCTCAGACCATTAAAAGTAAGCGATATCTAGGCAAACAGTAACATCAAATGCTAGTGTAGGACATCAGGCACAATACTTTCCTTCTGATTTTATCAGCCAAGCATGGAGTCATCTGCTTCTAGGGATCAAACACTTCCAGCACCTCATTGTCCTCAATGCAAACTGCAAATACCTTGGACGTCCCATCAAGCATCTAACAACCCTAGCTGCATAATCCAGCTACCGATAATCCACAAGCCATTGTAAACACACACTACCAATTTCTTCTCGAAAGTATTTGCAAAATCAGATAGACAACACAAATACAGAGAAGAAAATGCAGAGAACAGTATAACAGCGGAGGACAACATGTGGAAATCACAGGGGCTATCAGCAGAAGGAAAAATAGCTGATGAAGGTCAGGCAATGGCTTTCAGCATAGATATGCAGGACAAGAAGCAGCTTTACTGCTGTCATACCCAAAATAATACATTACATGTATTAAGCATTAAGTAATATTACAGCAAACCCTCTAAGGTGTCAGAGAGTAATCAGATAAAGGACTGCGTGCGTGTTTCCTGTCACATAAATGTCCCTGCTTCTGCCATCTTCTCTTCCAACTTGTTTATTCCTTCTGAAAGTGATGAAACACCAGCACTTCGCTCTTGCAAAACAGAGCAGTTAGAATCGCATAGGGAAACGCAAGACTTTGTGTCCGCCTCTACATACAAAACTCTGCCTTTTACCTTATCAGAGTTCATGGCTCCAGTTCATTTTCGTTTCTCTTTCTCGTCTCACCCCCAAATCCAGTTTCCAAATGCCTGGCTTTCCATTAAGGTTATGGAATACTTCCCCAACTCTTTTCTGAATTAGTATTTCTTTTCCAGCTAATTTCCAAAAGAAACCACCAGAAATCCTGCCCTGGCACACAGCCCACCCTACCAGTGAGCAGAAATAAGAGAAGTGCCACCACAACTGAGCAGAAACCCTCGTGATAGAGCTGAAGAGTCTTGTAGATCAGAAAATATATGGGAGTAGGCAGCATCTTCAGCATACTCTTTCTTCTGTTTTCATTTGATAAATTCTCCTTGCACCCTTGGGACCCTGCTCATTCCTGCTCACTCATCAGAATGTCCCTGACAGGATAGTCCCCTCCAGAAATATTTTCCTCTATCTCTCTCTTGTAAGTGTCCCCACAGAAAAGTCCATATATCCCCTGAAGCTGCCACCACCCTTTCCACATACATTTTCAGTTCCAATTGTGCATCTCTAATAGCGTATTTTGTACCTTATGGAAGTGTTAATGAGGAGATAAGAGCGGAGAGAATTTATGGGTTCGACCCTTATAAATATTTTCCTTGTGGAGACAAGCGTTGGTTTTGTTCTCACTAAGGACAGCGAAAAAGAGAAACTATTCAGTGGATCTCGTATTGAAAGAAGAAAATGTTATAACCACAACAGTGCAGGCTAAAAGTTCCTCAATTTTAAAGTTTCATCTTGTGCTCATTGGCAAAAACAACTTTAACTTCTTTAAACTTCATATTCTAAAAAGAGGTAAATGACAGAGGCAAAGGCATCTTTCAGACAATCAGCAAAATGTATTTTTTCACAAAATCCAAAATAGATTGCCTCCTAACTACACTTCGTGTTCTTAGTATACTTGCTATTGCTATGTTTCTCTCTCATATATTTATGTGAAAGGTTTCTTTCTCTCATATTTAGATGTACCTCTCTCATATATATATATATCCGTTGTTATTGTTAAATTCTAATCAAAGTAATATGCTTGTGTCCCTGCACTACTAGCAGAATAATCCATACTGGGCTCACAGTGAAGCAGGAGAGTAGCGTTAACGCTGTAAAATTCCCCAGAATTTCTGCTGATTTGGGAGTAGTGACAATTTGTAGCGATGGCTTCAGGGAATTCAGCTATCTTAGACAAACATTTTCCCTCAATGTCCTTTATTTAAATTTAGTGTCAGAGCTTCCAGTCAGATTGCATGGACATTTAGTTGTGTGGCGTTGTAGGGCTTTTTCCACTAATGATGGAAGATTAAAACCTGAATCTGTATGTCTCAAGGTAACTCCACCTCCTTCCTTACTGGTTAGTTACACGACTAGCCAGCTGCTCACCCTGACTGATGGCATTAGCAAGCACCATTAAGTTTTGAACCACATGTCCATTTAGATGCATTTCTTACGCAACAACTTTGAAAATCTCTGAATAAGCACAAATAATTACCTTGAACAGGTGAGATGATACATGATACATAAAAAAATGTTAATTTTTCAAGTTGTGCACTGAGTGGCATTAATATTTGCCTATTTAAACAGCTAGACACATACATTGATAATATTTTTTTCTGATTTCCTCAAAGATGGTGAACTAAATTTTACATCCTAAGGTAGACAAAAACATACTTGGCTTTACTAGCAATGTATAACTTGGATATTACAATGGCTTCAGTATGATTAGGATTTTGTTGTTTAAATCAGCACACCAAGAAAAAAGAGAGGAATCTTTCTGAAGTTATGGCAAATACTTCCTCCCGGGTATGTATTAGGAATTCACAATTTAGCCCACAATAAATGACAATCTTGTCACAAAGACATTTTAAAAGACTATTGCCTGCAACAGCAAAATCCACCTTTGTCTATAGGCACTGGAATTGTTAAGCTGCTGCGCTTCACATGCTATATTTCATATGGAATTGTAAGAAACACAGAAGAAGGACATATTTCACTGTTCAGAACGCAACGTGGTGATGCTCCATGAGTTATTTTCTTAATGCTCCCTTTTATGAAGGACCTTATTCTTCAAGAGCGTTCCCGAGTTCTAAATCAAATATGAGTCAATAGGGCCTTAAGAAGGGAAAATGCAAAGAATTTGTAGAGGAATGGAGATCTCTTTGCAACACACTCAGCAGTAGGGAGTGCCAATCCTTCCAGAAAACTAAGCCACTGAGGATGCAGAGCTGTGAACCCTTAAATACTGTTCTTACGTGTCTTTGATCTGTCAGATATATCATACCAGGAAGACAGCTTACAAAATGCTTCCTGTAGTAATATGTGCATATTGTTTTTCACGTCAGTCTGCTGATTTTTTTTTTTTTAAGAAAAAGCATTTTTGTTGATCTAGTATATTTTAAATTTTTTTTTGTTGGGTCACTCACCTTTTGTCTCCCTTTTCAAACACCAGGTAGCTTTTAAATGAAAATGCTTTGGAATGAAAACTGAAATTGAACATTTGGATTCTCCAGTGCTTTCCAGTGATATTTTTTCTTCCTTTTTTTTTTGGCCAAAGCTGGTTTTCAAATGGAGCCAATTTTCCAAATAGTTTCAGTCCTTCAGCAAATTTCCTATTCGGTATGAAAAGGCCACCCCCACCCAATCCCACCTCCATTAGCTAAGGCGGGCGAGGAGGAGGACGCTCGGCAGAGGCACGCTGGATACCAGTATAAGGAGCAACTCCACAGCTGCCACATGATCACCAGGGACAGAAAACTGAGCAGAAACTTAATTAAATTGAGCACAGCGTTCTTATGCCTGTTTTGGCTTTGTGACGGGGCATTTGGTTATCCCAGAGATACCTTCCACAGCAGCGTTCCACAGCAGTATTCCAGAGCACAGCGTTATTTCAAAGGCTTCAACCTGTGCTCCTTGGCCTAGACCATGCCATTACAGCCCAGATCTTGCTGAGAAAACAGCAGAAAATGCAGCAGCCCCTCCCATCTGCGCCCACGTGGGGATGCAAGTGGGAGAGGTGGTGGTCTTGCTTCCCCTGGGCATTGTCCCCCCGTGGGGCCCACCACGCGTGCCCACTTGTGCCCAAAGCCCTTGTCTTGGGGCGCACGGTACACCCTCTTCCTTTTCTCACTGTTTAGGCTCCTGCGTGGCCATTTGTCATTGTCTCCACGCCGGCGGCCCACGGCCCTGAGCAGGGCTGCTAGCGCATGCCACAGGAAATGGCGTTCCCCCACTTCAGAGGCGGTCGGCTCTGCCAACCACTGTAAGAAATATGTCGCTGCCAGGAATACGTTGCAGCTAGCAACTTAAAAATGGTCTCAATTTAACACAGAGCAAACCCCTGGCAGCCTCTCTTCTCTTTGAACAATTTATTTCCCAGTCTACAGCCCTCCTCTTCGATAAATAAAAAAAAAAGTCTGTTTAGTACAACATGGCCAATGTAGAGCCGCATAGTCCGTCTTAGAGCACAACTGGATTTAGCATGCTAAATGTAGTTTGCTTTTTTTGATGAATATGTTTCATTTGGATAGAAATTCTACATTTGGTATCAGCATTTCCCTGGATTCTACTGTTTTGCTTGAAAGAGATGACAGTATGAAAATCAGCTAAATTTCTGAATGCACTGTACTTTCTTAATTCATCTCCCCTTCCTTCCCCTGTCCTTGGCTTCTTTCTAAAGTTCTTTCATACTTTAAAGACTATATAGTGATAACTTTTACTGTAGGATTTCCATCAAAATGTCTCCTAACTATGCTTCATGCTACACAGCTGAATTTTAGGCTGCTCGTGACTGAAATCAGTAGGAAACAGTATTTAAAAAAAAAAAAAAGATCGCATAATGTAACACTGTGGAGTGCATGGTAGATTTCGTGAGCAGGGAGAGAGAAGAAACACCACTGGACTTGCTGAAATACAATGGTTTTTATACAATATCTCAAACTTGTTATAACCATAACAGTATTCAGTCAAAATGTTTAACCGATTTCAAGTGAGGAAGCATATTCCAAAACATTAACAGTACTAGCCCTGCTGCTTTTTTGACCTATTGTGGAAGCACTTTCTTCAGTGTCTAAGCTAAGTCAGTCTGGACATCATGGGCAGAACTGATGCAGAAATCCCCACTCCTGCTATTAGCATGCAAACAGGTACTTCCCAGTCCCCCTTAGCTCTAGCAACCCTGTTCAGCTGAGTTTCCCAGCAAGGAGGGGAGTTTCCGCCTGTCCTGTGGGCTCAGATCCATCCCTGATCCCCTCTCCAGGCCCTCTGGTCCTAGCTCTGAGGGCAAACCACTCTTGCATGAGAAGCAAGAGACAGGGAACATGTTTACATGCTGGAATCTCCACGTCAGATGTAAGGGTGTGCGCTGCTTTTATTAAGGTATTCAAACGGCCATCTCATGAGCACCCATCCACCTCTCTAATGACACAATCTCATTTCAATTTGTTTGAGATTGTCTTCACTTGATATTTGCAACAGCGGAAAGCTAATGCTTTCTGTGGCTTTGGCTAGACTAACAAAGATCTGAGGTCCCATTTGTTTGAAAAGCAAAGTTGCTCACAGACTTAAGTGTTTAACTTGAATGTGCTTACTGAAGAAACCATTATCTGAAAAAACAGCAAAGTCTATTGGTCTCAGAGAGCGAAGAGATAAGCCCTAAGGTCCATGCTCATATGCTACCTCCTAGATCTCTGTAGAACATAATGTCTCCTGGAGTATCATGACATTTGCAAGTCACAGTTCATCTACAGCCTAAATTAAAATCCCAAGGGAATCAAGGGACATCTCTGACCAGCTTCAACAGTCAAGATCTTAAAAATCAAATATAGTGTTAGGACCACCTCATATCACCGTTTTTTAAGCAGAACTCCCTACTGCAATCAGTGTAGCCTAAAATTAAAATCAGTAATGTTTGGCTCCAAATCCATGGATCAATTTGATTGTCTAGAGAGTGATATTACATTTATAAAAGCCTAATATGAATATCCTAACAAGCAGCACAGTATATCGTAAATAATATAGGCAGAAATACGTCAGCTTTAAAAATTAGTCTTTTTCATCACTGGAATTAGAATTATCCTTTTACAAGGAGCCACTCTGCAATCCAAATACCTGCTCAATACTTTTTTACACCCTGCCAAGCTAACTAAATGCCAGCAAATGGAAATTTAAAGGCTACCACTCCACTCAGTCAAATACCACTTTAACCAGTTAAATCTGTCAAATACTTTCCTGAAGGTCTGTAGAAATACTGTGCACAGAACAATTGCAAAATATTTCATGCTAATACAGAACCTGCACTTCTTTGTCATGGTGACCACAATTTCCTTTGCAGTTAAACTACTGGTAGGCTCAGTAAGGGTGGTTTGCTGAAAAACAGCAGGTGCTCTCATCTTACCTCCTGGTCTCACACTGTGGGCCCAAACGGCTGAAGCAACTGTGTATCAGCTGCAACTCCAAGGGAAAGGAGGGAGCTTTAAAAAATAAAACAAAACTTACTGTAGGTTGGGAAACTGCAAAAGCAGTGTGTTGAAACAGGTTGCTGCGTGCGTAGGAGAATGTTCCTTTTCTGAAGAGCAGCTAGTCAAGCCTAGGACTGCCAGCCCAAGACTGAGCCCAGTGAGGGAAGTGACTGGTGACAAAACGTCATAGTAAAATAGATTTTGTCTTTATAAGGAAATCTAGCATTCTCTGGTCTCCTTCCCTCATCACTTTGTTACTCATAGAACAGGTCCACTGACATATACCACTTCCTCTTTCTTTCTTTTACTTCTCTGGTTCCTTTCTCACTAAATATGTATGCACACACTCACAAACTTTTATGCTGTATCTCTTTCAAGATAGAACCAATTACACTTTAAAATCACAGAATAATCAAGGTTTTAGTCAAGCCCCCTGCTTAAAGCAGGGCCAGCTGCAAAGTTAGGTCAGGTTGCTCACAGTGGTGTTCTCCAGGGATGGAGATTGCTCAAGACCTCTGGGCAACCTGTGCCAGTGTTTGACTGTTCTCGCTGTGAAAACCTTTTTCCTTTATCTAATTCGAATTACTCTTGCTGCAACTTGTGACCACTCATTCTCATCCTTCCAATGTGCACCTCTGCAGAAAGTCTGGCTCCATCTTTTCTACAAGTTCCCATTAGGCAGTTTTAGAGAACAAGATCCCCATCAGCCCTCTTTTCTCCAAGCTGAACAAGCTCAGGTCTCTGCACCTCTCCTCGCAGATCGTGCGCTCCAGCCCTCTGACCGTCCCGCTGCCTCTCTACCATATGCCAATGTCTTCCTTCTACTGGGCAGCCTCCAACAGGACACAACTCCTCTTGCAGCTTCACATGTGCCAAAAATGTCAAGCACATGCTTCCCAGGTATATTGAGGCTCAAGTGTAAAGTGATTAAAACGGCTGCATATTAGCTGTCTTTCAACGCTCAGGAAGCAGCGTTTCAGAAGACTTAACAGAACTGAAAACACAACAGCAATTTATGAAAGTGATTTATCATCTCTGTGGGGTTTTTAAGTAATGTCCTGCCTTAAGAGCAAAATTTTCAGCAATTTCCACGGGGAGAGGAATCATCCTTTAGCTTTTTAAATAACTTCCCTTATGACTCTTACCTCTGAAAATATACAGTTGAAAAAAAAAAAAAAACCAGGCTGGGTAGCCTTCATGAAAAACCTGTCATAGAGCATTCACCAAATCAGCTGTATACATGCTGATGTAGAGAACTTCAAGGATAATCCTTCCATAAGTAAGACCCTACAGTCAAGATCCTATGAATGTAACCACTCTGAGCCCCATGTTCCCGGGAAAATGGGGCAAAGATTTTGCGATTAACTGAAAAGCATAAAATGCTAACGGGGCTGGAACACCCTTCCTGATACCCATACCCAAGCACAAGATGTACAAAAACACAAGAAGTGAAGGAACCTCTTGGATCAGAATAACTCCCCTAGTATCCTGTGTACCCAAAAAGTAGCTGAGTGTCTTGCTCCTGGCATTCCTTATTGAAGACTCCTCCTAAACTTTGCTGGTCTAACAGTTAAAAAAATCTTGATTTCCAGCCTGCACTTACCTAAGGTAAGGATTGAGCTTAGCAATAGCTACAGCATCCCCACACTAAATGGGAAATGTATATGCCATATGAGTTATTGAATGAACAATACCCAAGTAAGTTTTTATTCTAGTTTTTCTTATCTAGGGATTGGTTGGAGCCCTCAGGCATAATACTGAAATCTTTTAAACATTTTTGTTATAATCAATCAGAATTACAATTTGTATGACAAAGTACAATTTGTATGCCATGAACCCTGTTTTTTTTATCCAGCCGATTTCTTAACACTATGGGAAGAACTTCAAAGATCTAATTATGTAGAGCAGATAAGTGTTTTAAACTGGTCTTGAATTTAATATAAAGTCTCCTTGTTTTTTGTTATTAGACAAAGAGACTACATGGTCCTACTCTGCCTTTTCTATGGTATTTCATTATTTTATCAACTACGCCCAAGCTCTTCTCTTTTGCTTCCTAGGAGGTAAGGAAGCATTCTTGCTCATATTAAAGTCAATAGCACTTCCTGCAGCCACTAATGATTTAGGCACTGAAATGCCTGCCTCACTTCTGGAAACGCAACCTAAGAACTTAAGTGTTGCTGAAAGGTAAAAGAGACTTTGTGAAGCAGGAGTCATTACTCTGATGGCATGCACTCAGGTGGGAGGTAATCTGACCCGCAACATTTGTCTGAGCAGGCTACTCTGCCACCGGGGCTGTGTACGTTAGCAACACGTCCTAAAGTGCCATGTGTGATGTCTGCAAGAGGGATTATACTAGAGACTGTGGGCTTTGCAGAATGCCTGTGAAAAACAACACCTTTTAATGTTGTATTCACCCTGCCATTGGATATGCTAAAAAAAGTGGGGAGGGGGATATCATGATACCACCAAATATCTGTAGGTGCAACAAGAGAGTCTCACTCTTCGTCTCAATCCATTCATGCAGCAAGGGACGGGGGCTGATCTACCACTGAAGGACTTCACCTCAAGCTGGGGTCTGCCACCACACTCTCTCCCTTCCTCACTCTGTGGGATGGCTATCCTCATGCAACCAGCTCCATCCATGCCAGAATCCACCAATCACCGTGGACCTCTTCTACTGGCAGCAGTGTCCCAAGGGTCTGCAAGGGAGGAGAAGTACTGCAGTGGGGAAAGAGAGGTCAAGAGGGTGCAGAGAGACACAGTGACGCCGTATCACACGGAGCAAGGCTGCTGTGCACACGCAGAGCTAGGGGAGGAGGGAGAGATCAGCCTAGAGGGCAATGGCTCCCAGCTACACCAGTGCAAGAAGAAGAAGAGAAACACCTGGCACAGAGCTGAGTTGGCAACTCCAACTGTGAAGCAGCAAAGAGATATTTTCACTTTGGCAGAGAGGAAAATCTAGGCTTTTATATTGGCCCACGTGGAAACAGAGGTATGTAAAAGAAAGTTATCTCGTAGTGAAAACAGTATTTTTGGTGGGGTCATTCCACGAAGCAGCAGTTTGCCAAATCTCACCCTTTGCTCTGGAGCTGGGCCCAGGAAGAGGGTAATGTGCTGTTATATCAAGACTGGAAGACTGTTTTATGGTTCTATATGCTTGTGGAACTTTTGGTTTCTAAACTTGAGTCTTCTAGGGAAATCTTTATCTCTGAAGGCTGCCTGAAGGTTGGCACTGAAAAGCTGACTTATTTGGGAACCCAGATGAACCATGAAGATCAAATAATCAAAGCTCCACAAGGCAAAAAGCCACTCCTAAATGGGGGCTGGGAGGTAGGGGGGTAGATAAATGTCTTTATGGAACAAAAATCAGATAGCTCTGAGGCCATGGATGAACTTTCGGCTGTCACACTTGGTACCAAAGTGCCAAAGTCATTTGCTTCAAAGAGATCTTCTATACTGATGTTGCTGGGTGTTTCTGAAATTTTTTAGTGGCAAAGTCCCAGGGAATCGTGGTAAGAGCTTACTTAAATAGCACAAGGAAGAAGATTAATTTCCTGCAAACAGTCTGAACTTTGAGGAAGCATTTACGCAACTGAAAAATGAAATAGCAAAAAAAAACCCTGTAAAATGAAAGCAATGATAAATAAATAATATGAAAGTGTACACCCCAATACAAATTTAATAGTCTATGCCCAGCCATGAATTATTAAGCAGAACTCTCCATTTGTTGCAATGGGGAATACTAGTGAAATATTAATAACAGTGCATAAGCTAATCTTAGGCCTTGGGGTGGGGGAGAGGAAAAGAACAGGTTAGAAAAGTCTCTGGCCATTATTAACTGAAACAGCAGCCATGACATGCAGCTTGCCAACAGATCTGAATTAAGTGGAAGAAAGAAATGTTCCTCTGGCTCTCATGAAAAAACACTGGATTCTCACATCTCAAATAGAGACTTAGAGTGACTCTACAAGCCAATAAACCCATTTCCAGAAAGGTGTGAGCAAGAGGAATGGTTCTCAAACACTTAGAATAATACTGACTCTCATGATCTTATTTTCATTTTTAATGAAAAATGAAGTTTCAGTTAGACCCTGACTCAACTGACTATCTTGTTTTCTAGCTTTTCTTTCTTCCTTTCAGTAAGCATTTCGTTCTGTGATTGGAGGAAAAGTGTAAACATGGCTTCGGTGACTCAGCTGATTAGAGGCTTACAGGAGTAAAAAGAGTGGAGAAGTAGAGGGAAAAATGCTTATTTTTAATTAAAATTCATATGATGGTTGCTTCGGGCAAAGCTGAGAGGGAGTAAAGTCATGATTTTTCAGAATGTGGATCTGGCAAAAGCTGTCTCATAGTTAACTGAATTTGTCATTAATTTGTTACATTTATAGTCTCTCCATCTCACTCTTCGGTGACTGAACTGTAGGTGGCTTTGGCACTGTATCAAAATAGGCTTCCCTGCACACCTTCCTCTTTCTATTACGTGGGCGATACGACTCTGCAGTGTGCTCAGGGAAGCTGTCACAATAAAGATAAAGCACTTGTGCTGGGAATTGAGGCTCCGCAATTTCACGACCAGAATTTCAAGTATCTGTCTTCTGCTGAAAACTGGTGCAAAGGCAGGAAAAAGCAATTATAAATTAAGCTACTCTTCAGAATAAGTTCTCCCAAGATGGCTTTTTGCCAAGCATCTTAGAAAAGAACAATTTAATTTGCTTTGGTGTAAGAAGGAGACCTGTAAACAAACACCTGTATAACTGAACAAAATGCTGTGTGCACACAGGCACGCTCTCATACATACCTTCTTGTATATGCTATCGTTATATTTTGATTTTAAATTTTTTAAATGTTGGAAATTTTAACTTCAGAAGCTCTTCTTTTTCATTTTCTTCACTCAGCTTCTTTAAAACATACATTTCTGTATCTCTTCCTCTTTTTTTGCATGTGTTCCTGTATTTTCTTGTTTTCCCTTCATATATCTTCCATATTTTTTTCCATTCTCTCTCTCTACCTCCTTCTCTCTCCTCACTCTTGCTGACTTATATTCCAATGGTTTCTGTTTACTTGTTGTCACTCACTCAGTGTTCTTCTGTCAGTGTTCCTTGTAGTGTTTATAGAGGTATTCAGAGGTATTCAGAGGTATTCTCTTGCCCCATTGCTGTTTGC